TATCTATCTAATCCAAGGGTCTTCAAACTTGGCAAGTTTAAGACTTGGGAACTTCAGTTCCCAGAATTCCCGAGCCAATATGACCAGAGAAGGAATTCTGGGAGTTGAAGTCCACAAGTCTTAAAAGCTGTCAAGTTTGAAAACCCTTGCAGTCTATACACTTATCATTCTATCCGTTTTAGTCATGTACAGTCCAATCGTAATATTGCTTACAGCATATATTCTTACACATATCTATATACTGTACCTGTATTTATTTCTATTGTGTTAATCTTCTTTTATTATTAAGCACAACAAAGAATGTTCTTCCTGCGCCAACTCAGAAAGCTCAAACTGCCTAAGAAGCTGCTGATACAGTTCTATAGAGGAAATGATTGAGTCTGTCAACTGCACCTCTATAACTGTCTGGTTTGGTTCTGCAACCCAACAAGAGAGACAGAGACTTCAGAGAGTAATTATGACTGCAGAAGAAACAATTGCTACCAACCTGCCTTCCATGGAGGACCTGTATACTGCACGAGTCAAAAAGAGGGCTGTGAAAATATCTTCAGACCCCTCGCATCCTGGACAAAAATGGTATCAACTCCTACCCTCAAAACGACGCTATAGAGCCCTGCACACCAGCACAACTATACACAAGGACAGTTTTTCCCCCGAATGCCATCATTCTGCTAAACAACTCATTCCCACAACACTGTCAACTTATTTACTAAGACTTTATTACTATTATTCCTGTACTACTAGATTATAATAACACTTCCTAGTACCTATCTCTTCCCGCTTATGATTATAACAGTGTTGCTTGTATCGTTACAATTTATATTATTGTATTTGTTTCCTACTATTTGATTGCTTATCAATATCCTATGACTATCACTGTTGTGATCTTAGGATTCTTAATGAATGTATTTTATTTTTTCTTTTATGCACACTGTGAGCACATGCACCGAAGTCAAATTCCTTTTGTGTCCAATCACATTTGGCCAATCAAGAATTCTATTCTATTCTCTATATACCAAGGGTCTTCAAACTTGGTCAAGTTTAAGACTTGTGGACTCCCAGAGTTGAAGCTTTGCTGG